CCCCCCCCCCCCAAAAAAAAAAGATAAAGATACGTAGATCCAGGCCAGGCCAAGACCCGAAGAGGAGATGATAAGGGGAACCGAAAGAAGCTGCAAGGGTCTCTGTGGGCGAATGTGATTGGATTTTGACAGGTGCATGTGAGCGACGGCAGCAGTCGCAGTTCAGGCTGGTAGGTGCACGTGAATGGTTAGCCTGAGTCTGTTTAGCTTACTCGCTGTTCAGTACACAATTTACGCGTGTCTTTCCTTACTTGCTTGTTTCTTCAACAGCTTGTCTGTTTACAGTATGTACTTCTGTTGTACATTTTAAGGTTTTGCACTATCTAAATAACTTGTACATTTGCCTTCCCATGCTATGCTACATCGCATCAGGTCGCAGCATGATATGATTCATGCCAGATCAAATCCTCTTCCAGCAGACTATCGGCTGTGGGTGCTTACAACTTGTACTTACAAGACAACCGTTGTTGGACGCTTAGTCTTCAGAGTGGTTCTTATGGGTTCTGCTCGTGGGTCGTGGGACACTGAGACCCCTTGAAGCTGCACCGTGTTGAAAAAAGCAAGTTGTCCCAGATGCTTTGAAACTCTCCGCCACGAATTGTAGGGCCATAGGATCTGATTGGACAGCCGCAAGACAAACCTCAAAGGCGAAACAAGCAAAGTCGAGCAGATTGATTTGGACTATCTGTCATCCAGAACCTGACCCCATGCCCTGATCTTTCCGATTAGCGGCCAAAGCCAAAGTTGCTAGGTTCTCCTTCCAAGGGGCATCTGGGTCAGCGCGCAACGCTTCTGAAGCATACGAGAGCGCTGCGCCCGAGCTGCGAACCTCGAGCTCATGGCCATGCAAACCATGCCGGCCCATACTCCATACAGATTCCGCCGTGCCTCGGGTCTCTCAGGCCCGAACAGCCTTGAGAACCGCATTCTTGTCCGCTTGCAGTTCACCCGCATAGGCCAGCGCCTTGCAACTCGGGGGGAACACCGCAGTCAAACAGAGCTTGGAGAAAAAAAAAAAGGCTTCTGAGTCTTCTGAGCTTTGGCAATGCCAAGGCAAGGAACGTCTCCGCGCAGCTGCAAAGCCTCCAGGGCAAAGTCCATGTCGCTGATTCCCAGGTATCTTCAACACAAATTTCACAAGCGATGAAGGTTTCCGCCACTAGCACTCGGCTTCACTAGGCCTCAGGGCGGAGGCATTGCGCTGCACCGCTCGGAGGCCAAAGTCCTGGCTGGCGGCTAACACAGTTGGCTATCCCAAGCTCTGTGGAGACTCCTTGGCAATAGTCTCCCTTCCTGGACAGCGCCGTCCTTGTCCGCACGCCGCCCATCAGGCATGCATGACACGGCTTCGGCACGCACGGCGATAATGTCCAACAGAAAGCCATCATCCAGGCTGCACTGGTCGTCCACATGCTGCAAGACTGCTGGCGTCTGACAAGCAGCCTTGAATAGAAAGTCACGGTCCTGTCGCAGTTCGAAGGTGCTGTACTGGAAAACAGCAGGGTTCACTTCGATGGCTTGCAGCATGAATTCGGGGTCTGATCTCACGTCGTGCGAGGCGAGGCCAAGCGCACATGGATTGCAAGTGACAGCTCTTAGTAAGAAGTCGTCATCTTCGAAGAGTAGGGCTGCAGCATGCGGGAGGCATTCAGGAGCTGCGGCAAAAGCTTCTAGCACGAAGTCCTCCGCAGCATACAAGACTCTACACTTCCACATGCCGTGCTGACGGATTGCACTGCGTCCTGGTCCATCCGCAGCTCTTCTGATCCATAGCACAGGTTGCTCCCATCGCCCAGCACGGCTTGCCGTACCATCTGCCGATCTCCCTGGAAGTCCTGCAAGTATGCCAGTGCTTGCGGATTGACAGTGAGGGCGAGGAGGACGAACTCGCGGTCCCGTGCCAAGGTTTCGGCGGCGTACAGCACGGCGGAGGAGTCGTAGCGCAAAAACGCACAAATGAGGCTGGGATCTCGTCTTAGCTCGGCTGAAGCCCACCCAAGCACACCTGCCTGGTAGGTTGTGGCTTTCTGTGTCTGCAAAGCCCCGAAATTTCACAGACTGGTCAACAATGATTTGCTTGGAAAAGGGTTGAAGCAGTCATGAGTGTATTTTGCCATTTGTCCCAATTTGCGGAAAGCTGCATTTTGCTGCACGGCCGACAGCACAACTTCGCGGTCAGAAGCAAAGGCCGGTAGGTGCTTTAGAGCGGTGCCACAAACTCGCACGGCCTGCAAGCACAACATTCACAACTGTTCATCACGATGTCCAACTACTCTCGCCAGACCATGAACTATTGCCAACCGACCGGAATCCCGTGCATGGCCTCCAGCGCGAAGCTCCGATCTCCTTTCAATTCTTGAGGTACGTCCATCAGGACCTCGACATCCTGAGCTACAGCTCGCAGCACCATTCGGTGGTCCCATCGCAGGACGTAGGCCGCGTGTTGGAGGGCCTGGCCGTGGTCGTCTACGGCCGCCAGGACGACCTGACACGGCGGAGAGGCAGAGACTTCACTTCCCCCGCCACATCGGGGCCGCCTCTGGCACCCTTGGGGCGCCTCGGGGTGCGACCGCAGCGATTCGGCTGCAAACTCCAAGGCCAAACCGTTTTGCCGCACTGCAGCCAGGACCAGCCTCAGAAGGTCAACGGCGGACTGTCACGGCACATGCTAGCGCTGCGAACCCCACATCGACCCCGCCGAGACACTCCTTGTCAGACTTGCCCTCGTCAGAGGCAAACTCAAGGGCAAGTGCATCCTGATGGACTACTTAGAATCATCGCCTGAGGCCTAGTGGGGCCTCGCAACCTAGGACTCGACTAGTATTTAAACACTTTGCAAGCCTTGTGCGGCCGGTGACTATCAGGTCAGGTCTGGGTCGCATCCTCCGTGATAATACGCGCATTGACAAACAGCACACTACATTGTCACTACATGAAAACTATATCGCTAAGGGTGGCTTACAGTGTTCACTCCAACCCGTTCGGCTAAGCGCAAGCCTGCTCCACAGCGATGGACAAGATGACTGCATCTGCTCTGCAGCTCGACGCTGCATGCCGTAAGGCCCTGCACAAACGAAAATCAGAGCAGCGGCTGCAGATCGAAGCATTTTGGGTAGCCAAAGTGCCTGCCCTGGCATCGCACGGCTTCTGCGACTACAGCAGCCGTGGCCTGGTGCAATGCTACGCAAAAACAACATACTCCTACAAGTACTTGGTGTGTCTTAGCTGAATGCAAAGATGCTACAGAGCCGTAATTCGGTTGCCAGTTTCGTCGGGCCTTGCACACGGCTCTCGCAAAGCGCAGAGCCTCGCCACATTGCCGAACGGCCGTCAAAACCACCTCCTGCGAAGGATACTGGAGAATTCGGTATAAACAAGGGTGCCGGAGCAACATTTCAAAACCAGTTTCCTCATCGGCCCTGAGCTCATCCGATGCATGCCGCAGCGCCAGCCCGTCGCGCGAGACTGCTATGAGGACGGTGATACGATCTGCACGAAGACCATCTGTAGTGTGGCGGAGGGCGGTCCCAGTCTGATCCACGGCGACGGCCACGACCTCCAGTGCTGTGAACGTGGGTTCGAGGTGCAAAGCCTGCCTGCCACTTCCAGGGCACCTTCGGATCGGCTCTTGCCGCCCTGGCAGCAAACTCCAATGCAAAGCCGTTCTGCGCCACAGCGGTGAGGAGCACTTCCTCGTCCTCCTGCAAGATATACTTCGCAGTATACGCTGTAGACTATCACGCGGTTGTGCCTTCAGTGCTTCAGAAGCCAGTTCAAGCGCCATCCCGTCGTGTGCTACAGCAGCCAACACAACCTCCTGCCAGGGCTGCAAGAAAAGCTGTCCAGGCTGCAACTAGCTTCTCACACAGGGAAGTGTAATTCATGCATGCTTTTCCGAAGACAGTTCGCCTTGTCATCCTGCCAGCTGCCAATTCGGCCCAAAGCTTCTGGAGCTCGCCTAACCGCTGCAAGGATGACCTGGCCGCGGAGTTCGGATGCCTTCCCGAACCACCCATGTCAGGAACGCGTATCCTGACCAACAAAGACAAATGCCGAGCAGCATCTCTGCTCAGCTCCATGATGGGCAGCTTTCCAAGAAAACCGATCACTTCTTCACCTCTGTGCCACATAGGAATGTTAGTTCTCGTTCAGTTGTGCAAAGGGTCGCGGAAATCTGCAATTCCGTCGTCATGCATCGTGATGACGGAACAGTCCGAGAGATCTATTTCTGTTTATAGCTTGCACGAGGCAGGATGCTCGAACAGCTTGTCAGCTTCTGGAGCTGAGAGATTTCGTCGGCATGACGCAAACCAAATTGCAGGAGGAGTTGTGCGGGGTCGTCGTTTGATTCTTCACCGGGTTGCAGAAGCGCCTTGGTTTCGGAGCAGCACACACGCAAATTCACAAACCCCAACATTGCTCATGAAACCCTCGTTCCACACGCACACCAGCACAAATGCTGAGTCACTTCCAATGCCAGGGTGTCGTCGAGCAAGATTTTCTTGTTGTGTTCCAGTCGTATGCCAACCGTGGGCACTCCGAACCTCAAGAAAGGCTTTGGCCAAGCCATCGACATAAAACGAACGAGCATCGTCCAGGGGGAGATCAACATGTGAAACAAGTACAACTGAGCCCTGCAGCATTTCAGCCAACTTTTGCTTGAGACACCCAAGGTCTTCGGCCACCCCGGCCCTCACTTCGAAGCTCTGCCCCGTCGCTTGTGACAGCACAACTTGCAAAGCCATGGCTGAATTTCCGCATGCTTGTGAATCGCAACTACTGCTATGACGGGCACATTCACTAGTTGCGACCTGCTATCAACATCTGGTGACATGGTCCCCCAACATTCATCTTTTGACGTTGATTTTTCGGATGTCTCTGCGGATGAGGCGAATGCTAATCGTTTGTAGTTTCGGCATTTTGAAAGGCTACCCTGAGTTTCGTTGTGGCACCTAGATTGGTTCCATTCCCGGAGGTCTGTCTTCATGTTCCATAGTTTCATGCGGCCTAGTGTATGTGTATTGTAAAAGTGCAAAACGCACTGTTGAGTCGGCTTGGAAAGGGCTGCACGTCACGGCTCAGTTCACACTTGGCTTGCCACTGCACACTTCACAACGGCACTGTACGGTACACTCGGTAGAGCAGTAGGAGGGTCTTATTTCTTGGTTCCTGCTCGCCGGGCATTCCAAAATAAAACTGTAAATTACGGAGTTGCATATGCGCTGAGACCTCGCAAAACATCGGAGAACATCTGAACAAGTCAAACGAGGCTTTGCATCTCCAGCTCCAGAGCCTTTCCACTGAAGAATTTCTCACTGCTTAAATTGAGCTGCTCAAGGAACGAGTGCTCAGGCTCTGACACGGCTCCACCGTCCTGTACACGACTGGGATCGTAGACGATGGCCTCACAAATCGCCGCCGAGAACGCAAACCGCCACCACCAGAACAACCTCCAAGACTACAACCACTTTTTTTCGTGCTGCAGCCTACTCCACTACCGCCCACGGCGAGCCTCATGCAGCTCATGAGGTTGGCACCGACATCCAGTGTAGATGTATACAACAGCACATGTAGGGTTACATACTCACCGCAGGCCTTTTGCACAGAAGGAGTCAGTTCCAGGTGGACCTTCCGGCAGTGTGGCCGCCAAGTTCTTCCAGAACTCCTGCGGGGTGATCTCTTTCGCACGTCGCTGCTCCGATGTCTCCTGGGAGAAATGCACATCGTTGGTCTCGGCAATGCCATCCAAGAGCACAGGCTGCAACTCCGCGCTGGGGCCCATGCTCTGTTCGGTCCCAAGTGCCGTTGGCAGACTCATGTCGGAGACCTGCTCCGGCAGGCTGGATTCCTGAGTCGACAGGACTTCGAGGCCGAAGGCGCTCAAGGCATTCCTCTGCGAGAGTTCACGGCCCTCATACGGCTTCTTCACCACCGCCATCTTCCAGTGGCTCCCAGTGCCTCCAGCCGCGTCCGAGCGCACCATCTCGCTGGGCTTCACCAGCGAAGCGTCATCCGAGAGGTAGAACATGATGAGCGCTGCTCCGTTATTGGCGGGCCCATGCATAGCGTCCAGGTCGACGTAGCCGATGGTCTCTGCATTGGAGAAATCCTTGCTGTTGGCACTGGAGCCCGTCACGCGCAAGAAGGCACCTTCCAGGTCCTGCCATCCAATCTCAGAGTTGGGCGGCCCATTTGCACAGCCGAAAATGTTGGCAACGACCATGACATGCGTCACTCCGCTAGTCCTCAGACCCGCCAAGTTGAGGAAGGCCCACTCGTCGTCGCCCTCGCCCTCGCCAGACCGATCATCCTCGGAGATCCGGTAGTTTGTGCTCTTGTAGGACTTGTGTCTATAGTTCACGTGATCGTAGTACCCACACTTGCTGGCACCTCCCAAGGCCTTGGTCCCTTCACGTCTACAGCTTAGGAGCACCATGCCAATGTCCACGTCAACTTCACCGCCTGGGCACTTGTCACACTCATCCATGCCAATTCCAACGTAGGCCACATCTTGCATGAAAGGTTCGCAGTGGCCCTCCCGGGGCACAGTGAGGTGCCAGTTGATGTGACCGGTCACGTGGCCCTTGGACTCAGCGCCCCGAAAGATGAAGCCCGAGCCGATGCGAGCCTTGGGGTCCCGGGTACCTTCCTGCTGCTGCAGGATGTCGACCTGGCCGGTGGGAGTATAGGCGCGCTCCACCAGGCAGTTGAAGAAATTTTGCGTTGCCATGGAAGTGTGGGGGTAAGCACGGCTGTGTGTGCCACAGGGACGGTCCGAGGTGCATCCTGTGCACATGGTCCAGGGAAGCACCTTTCCCTTGAGCTCGAAGCCCCTGGAGCTCATGCAGTGTCCGTAGGTGCAGAGCCCGGAGTGCTTGCCAAGCTCATCGAAGGTGGCAGTCTTCGAGCTGTCAAAAGCCAAAGCTCCATCATGCACCATGAGCGTTTCGGCAGGCTTGTCCGGACAAACTAAGCCTTCGCCCTGCTCCGCACAGAGGTAGATGTGCATGTGCATCTGCTCCAGCTTGTGGTTGAAAGGAATGCGCTTTTCCTGCTCCCTGAGCTCCTTCAGCACCTTCAACTCTTCTGCCTCATGCTCGTGCACGAACTTCGCGTCCACGTTGGAGCCGCCAGCCACAGCCTCTTCAGCCATGGCACGGACCTCCGGCAAAGTGGAGGAGTCGAACTTGAAGGAGCTGTACTTGTACTTGTAGGTCTTTACATACTTCTGCTGCTCTTCTGGAACCTGCCGCGTGCTCCACTCACGCGGATATTCTCCCGGCTTGCGGAAGAACGGTCGCTCCACGATGGGCTGACGGTCCCCAAACCGCAGGTGGTGATGGCCAAAGTTGTCATAGGGCCGGCCTAATGCAGATGTTCGGTACATTTTCCGATAGCTGCCCGACTCGTCGATTGCCAGCAGACCTCCCCACTCCACCTCCTTGGTCCTGTCGTTCTCGCAGCTGGTGCATCCCACCAGCTCCAGAACTACATGGTGGCCCGTGGGCGTCTTGTCCGTGTGGTGCACGCCCTCTACGACGATTTCGCCCAGGCGCTCCGGGAAGGGAGGCGGGTTGGACCATGTGGGGCGGTCACTGAAGAGGCCGCCGGGCAGCTTCTTGTTGCGAAGATGCAGGGGGAGACAGTTGTGTTCCGCTTCAGATGGTTGGAAGCTCCGAATGCTTTTGATCTCGTTGGCCGCTTCTTGCTGCTCGTTCTCGTAAGTGGTGACCTCTCGGAGATGCTCCATGCCGACGCACTGCACCTCCATACGCTCTTCCTGGTTCAGCTCCACCTGCTCATCCACCACAGACTCGGAGGCCAAGACGCGCTCCTCCTGCATGACCACTTCCGGCGAGGCTGGCGGCAGGACTCCTAGTGGCATCACCGGCGGCGCTGCGCCCTGGATCTGATTGCGCATCGCGGCGCCCACCACCGGGTTGCCCTGCATGGGTGGGAGCATGTCGCCGAAGGGGTCCTCAACGGGCTGGTTCATGCGCTCGAAGTGCGCCCTCACGCCATCCACACGCGCACTGAGCACACTCAGCACGTGGAGGGCGAGGGCAGCCAGAACAGATTGAACAAACGACATAGTCATTCAAAGGCGTGATTTTTGCTCGCGTCCAAGCCAAGATTGCTGCTCTTGAGCCAAAACACAACCACTACGAGTTTCTGCTGCTGCAGCTCATCGCGACTTCGACGGCAAAGCTTCGACGACAGGCCTCTCCCTTCTCTGCATCCTCCTCGAGAGCATCAGACATTGCAAGCTCTGTCACCGCTTTCCGGATGTTTAACCGTGGCAAACGCTTGTGTCCTCCGGCTGCCGTATTCGCAGAAGGCCAGGGGCTGCGGTGGAGGCCAACCTATGACAGGGCCTGGCATGCGAAGGACCATTGTGGATCCCTTCTGCGGTCGGGCGGCATGTCTTTCATTTTCGAGCTACATTCGGACCGAGAGTACATCTCCCCTCGAAGGTCACGCCCGGAGTACGTCAAGGACCGTCAAGGAGTCTTTAAAGCTCCAAGCGCTTGGCCGGATCAGCAAAGCAGTCTACAAGAAACCGCACGCCGCTTTCGGTGAGTTCGAACTTCCCCTTCTTCTCCGATACATAGCCCTTCATATCCTCGAATGCAACCAATCGATTGTTGAAGTCTCCCCAGATCAAAGCTGCAAACTTCTGACTGCCACGCTTTGAGCTTGCAACTGTCCGTTCTCTAGGTCGCACTGCTCTAGCACTTAAACTCTTCGCTGCACTCTTTTTGACGTGTTGCTTCTGTATTGGCTTGGGGCTAGAAGGAGGGGCCTAGGCCCCGAGGCTGGGCCCTAGGCAAAAAGGTAACCCCCCAT